TATATATATATATATAATCAAACACAGTGCCTAAATTTTTTTTTAAAACTTTCAGAAAAAACAAACGCCCTTTACAAATAGGGATTAGCGACCATGAGTTTTTCTCTCTCCACCTTTAAAAAGGGCTATCTATCCATGTGATTCTCTCTCTCAATTCTCCCCCTATACACACACTCTCTCTCACAATTCCGTCCCACATGCACGCACTCTCTCACAATTCCGTCCCACATACACACTCTCTTTCTCTCTCTCTTCTCCTAAATATAGTATATCTTAAATATTATTTTTCTATATTAAAATAGGTGTATACTCTCCATCTCTTTCTCCCTCCTAAATTAGTTGTGTAATCTGTATCTCAAAGATACAGTGTATCCTACCATCTCTATAAAATTAGGACCTTTTTTTATTCCGCGACGTGTGTCCACCTCTTAACTTTGATTTAATAATGTAGTATAGATAAGGTTACAATGATTTATAACTAGTAGATTTGAAATCAGTGGGCAGAGGGTGAGCTATTCAATCTTACTTAAGCTCAATGAAAGTTTTTTTAAACTTTGTGACAACACTCATAAGTGATTGATTTCACATCTAATGACTAAGAGACATTGTGATCTTTTTGTATCAAAGGCAAATGGGTTTTTATAGTATATACACATGTTACTAGAACTAGACTAGCCATCAAATTGTTGAAAGATCTGGTTCAGTCAAATTCGATTCGACTATTAATCGAATCATTCTATTAGATTTAAAAAAAATTGAAAAATAGATACAATAGTTTAATATATGAATTGTTTACGAAAAAGGCTTCCAAAATTTAGGCAGCCATTTGATAAATAAAAACCAGTTAGTCGACCCGCCAAACCAATCAAACATTAGATTTGACCTTGGTTGGCCGTTCGACTGAACAAGCTCGCCATTTTAATAAGTTGGCTTGGGCTTGTCAGATTTCTTTTTGGTAATAAAGATAGCCAAGCATACTAGAAACCTTGTAACAGTAGAAATTCGTTGTCATGACTCGTCGCCATCCACACAACTTAAATGGGAAACACCTTCTGCATATTGCAATACCTAAGGAGTATTTTTATATTCATTTAAAAGTTTTTCTAAGCCTCTTAGGGGAATGAGAACTCTAGACATTGACCTGAAGTAATATCAATTAACAATTTTAAAATGTTTCATTCTTCTTTTGAGGTCAACCTGGCCTTGGGTGGTACCTTCATGTTTGCAAAACCAACCCATCTGCACAACAGACAGAAGTTCCCTTTTGTTTTTGTAAAAACACAAAAGCCTTTTTTAAATTAATAATGGAATGTTAAAAACTTTTTCCCATCTTTTTGGGGTGAACTTTATTTGGGCAGGTGTGATAGGATCAAACATTTTTAAAATAGCTAAAGCCCTTGAGTTCAATTTAACAATTCTTCTTCTTTTACGGTTAATATTCAACAAAATAATTAAATAAACAAAACAAATTCTTCTCCTCTTTAAGTTGAGGTGCAATTTTCAATGAATTGGAACCCGAGGCCCCACCCCAAATCACTAAGTTAAAAGCAAATGTGAAGTATAATATTTACCTAAAACTCAACATCGAAGAAAATGATGGGGATTAAAATTTGAATTACGATCTATATTTTGAGTGTAGAATCTAATGTTTTCAAACTCAGATCGGGCCTCAGACTTGGTCCTAGCTTGAGTCGAGTAACTCAGGACTCTGAGTGGACTTGGCCGAGTCTTGTACAAGTGATGACAAACCTAAAAAAGAAAAAAAAGGGATACAACATTTGTTAAAAATCCACAAAAAGTAAACTAAGTTATAGAAGTCATTAGAAGTCTATAACAGTCTAGAAAAATAAATAAAAGATGGATTTTTTATAATTTTAATTTATATCTCAGAATATTCCAAAAATCAAGAAATGGAAAATAAAAAATTGTAGCATACAATAATAAAAGCTCCTCAATTATCATAAAAAAAACATGCAAATTATATAATATATTTCTAAATAACAAATTAATGACTTTTTAATACTTTTTACTGTGAACGAGTTCCCCCGAAACTCGCCTTGGCCCGGACAAAGTCGAAACCGGAGTGGACTCGGCCTCTTGAAACACTTTGAATCAAAAGGATGGATACCCGCAGCCACAAATTAAACACTTTTTTTGGTGAGGTGTTTCGATAAAACATAGTTTGAAGACCTAGATTGCCCCTATGGCAATCCGGCCTAGTAATCATCAAATAAAAATTAAAAAGTAGGAAATAAAAAATTGAAAAAAATTAAAAATAAGTGGCACCTGTTTTCTTGATATATATATTAGGATCTGAATCAACCTGACCAATTTCCAATTAAAATTGAGTGGTTCCGATCGAGATCACTTATTTTTAAAGCCTTAAGTCAAAGTGAGAAGAAGAACAAAAAAAACAAAGATATTGAGAAATACTCACCTAGTAAATCGGAGTGTCCCGTCCTTAGGTTGGGTGAGAAATGGAGAAGTTTTATCTCTATCCAAAAAACATTCAAATGTCTTTTTAATATTTGTTTTTTATATTATTCCTGATTTGCTCCGTTACTTATCCCTATGTTATTTGGCGTAGGATATGGTGGCCTAGGTTATGGTGCGTCAGCTGACGTGGTTTTGAATTTGAAATCTTATAGCCAAAATATTTCATACTCCCACAGGATTATTCTGTTCATAGTATTCCCTCCGTCAAAATTCATGCTAGGAATATTTTTTAAGCCCCAAATTTAGAAAATCTAATCTCAAACACCCACCCTCGAAGGGTAAAAAAAAAATATCGCACTCTCTACAAGTGCAAAAAAAAATGGTATTCTATAGGAGCCTATGTGGGGAGGATTTACACTTTCAAGAATTTTTGTGCTTTGAAAATAATCATCTAGAATCTCAGAACTTTAAAAATAAAAGATTGCCCCAAGTAGCTATTTCGCATGTTGAACCGTATATGGTCCTGAAGAAGCATGGTATACATGCTCAATTTTATTAGTCTACTATTATTAGTCCACTATTAGTCTACTAATTATTGTCAAATACTAAGCTATTCATTTACTCCTTAGGCAAAACTCCATCCAGGATTAATTTCACGACCCAAAATTTTGAGGATGTAACCTCCTTAACTTATAAATTAACCTCAATAAGAAAAACCCTAATTACACCCTCTATACAGTTAAAAAGAATAATATCTCAAGATTAAATATAAACCGTCCAATTATTAGAGAAGACGATCTAAGTGCTAAAAAAACTCAAAGTTCATATTTTTTTCTTTCAAAATTAATCATCTAGTGGTTCGTAGGTGGCTAGTAAAATTTAAGATTGAAAAGATCCTATCAACTCTCAAGTAGATCTTTTGACCAAGAAAGTAAAAGTACACTATGCTCCCAAGGGAGCATATATGTGAAAGTAAAGGTACACTATGCTCCCAAGGGAGCATATATGTGCTCTTATTTACTTTGTATTACTATTCTTGGAGTGCAGAGTAATGGATAAAGCAAAAGTACCTAGCAAAAATAGTAAAGATCCATCTTTAAAAGGCATTTTTTGAGTCTTTTTTTAGGAGGCTGTTTTTTTTTGAAAGGTGAATATTCATTTTAAAATGAGTTTTTTAAGTACTTTCTTACCTGCTTGTCTTTTTTAAGTCATTAATGTGATGGAATTAAAACGAAAAGAGATTTTTTTTTAGTATTATTTGATAGGAGGTTGTTTTTTTTAAAGGGTAAGTGGGAATGAAAAACATAGTGACCACTTCGTGTAAAAGTGGTAGGTCGATAGGGTGTCAAGGTGCTACCACCGGACTCAGCTCCTTTTTGAGATTTTTTGAGATGGTACTTACTACAAGACTTCATTAAAACTTTTTCACCTTTCACTCCTTTCTCATATTTGGAATTGGGAGAGGGGATCCATCAATTGCATCCACAACAAGAGATCCATAGAGATGGATCTAAAGCACAAATAATTTAGATCTACTAGAACCTTTTTTTTAAAATGTGACTATAAACTTCTTACACTTTTCTCTGTTCGAATTTTGTTTTAAAATGGAACTGTAAACTTATTACACTTTTCTCTGTTAGAATTTTTTTTTTAAATGGAACTGTGAACTTCTCACACTTTTCTCTCTGTCGTATGTACATACATGCTTGAGAGAGACCGTTAGAGAGAGAGAAACAGATGAGTCAAAACAATAAACAATGTTAATAAAACCCATCCAAATCTAGAGTGAGAAGTGATTCTATCCCGAAAACGAAGGGAAAACGCATAAATTTACAGTATGGTACTGCAAGTGAGAGAAAGAGTCAATGCGCAAGAATAGGGGAAAAACTCCATAGATCAAACAGTACTAGAGAGACAATCACGTTTTTTTTGTTCAAAAAAGAAAACAAAATGCCATGAACAAACCAATCAAAGAGAAGAAGAAACATCGAAAACCCACAGATTTTGACTGCCCTCCCCCAATAATGTTCAAGTCTGCTACTTGCCATTCTGGGCAGCAGTGTTCATCCCCCCTCCTCTCTCTCTCTTTCTACATCTTTCTCTCTCAATCTCTTCTTGGGTGGTGCCAGCACGTTACCCGTTGCGTATTGGCCTTTCATGCCAAATAATCATCCTCTGTTTCTGTCCTTGAATACCTTACCAGACTTGTTTTCATGGATGTTTTCAGGCAGTATTCATTTCTAGGTGAAATTTTTTTTGAGCTTTGTTTTTGTACATTTTAACAGTAGAAAAACGTTACCTACCCATTGTCTCTTTCAGTGAGAGAGAGAAGAGTTGCTCTACTTACAGGCTTTCATGGAGATTTTCAGAGACTCTTGGGTGCTAGGTGTGTAGAGAAAAGCTGCCTATTTTCGAATATCACTTCTAGAGAGATAGAGATGGATAGTAGTCTTAGTGGGTCTTCTGACAAAGATCAGACTTCAATGGATGAGACTGGAAGTTCTCGCCCAAAACCCATTTCGAATTTGAACCCGATCGAGCTTGAAAATGGGGTGAATCCAGCACGTGTCACCCAAAATTGCAGAGAAGTCTCTGGCCTTAAGGTGAATTGTGAGAAGAAAAAAGGTAGGGGCTCAAAGTGATAGGAATATGGAAATGATTTCAGAGTTTGGTTTGTCTAATAAAGGCTCCGAGACTGGTCCTGAGATGTGTTCAGGGGTTGGGTACTACATTATTGATGTGAAATGTGCTGGAGAGGGACATGTTGAGAAAGAAAGGGTGTGTAGAGTTTGCCATTTGAGTTCGGATAACCAATCTTCTGTTACTGATTTGATACAGCTTGGTTGTGAGTGTTTGAATGATCTAGCCATTGCTCATCGTCGTTGTGCAGAGGCCTGGTTCAGGATCAAAGGAGATAAGTAAGCATCTCTGGTTCTCTCTCCCTCTACATATTCTTGTGAATTATGCATTATCTAGCTGAATTCTTTATGAACTCGTTTCATAGCCGACATAATCATGAACTCGTTTCAACTTTAGTGAATCACTTCTTGCTGATTGACCAATCTCTGTGTGTGTGTGAGTTGATTCGTTTGATATTTCATTTCTATTTATTTAAATTTGAATATACAAGCTTAACTTGCTAATGGCTCACAAGTCCTACATATAGCTCGCTTGTCTTGAGATTGGCCTGCTCTGTTTATTTATGTATATGCCTACATGACTATTTCTAACAGTCTTGATATTGGCCTGCTTTGTTTATTTATGTATATGCCTACATGACTATTTCTAAAAGTCTCTAAATGTGCATGGCACTACCTGAGAAAAAGAAGAGAAATCTATTTGTGAATGACAAGCTTCTTCCATAAATTAGTATACCCAAATTTTGGATCTCATACAGTTCTTCTTTTCTGAGATTGAAGCCTAAGAGCTCCATCCATTTGACTACAGGGTACAAACCATTTGAACCAACAAGTTTATCATCTAGTGTTTTTATGTATCAATCAAAAGGTGATGGTGCAAAATTATTTAGTTGTTGGTAAAAGGCAGAACCCACACAATATATGGACTGGTGCTATTGTCCAAGAGTCTGAAGAAAGTTTAAAATCTGGAAAGAACAGTATAATTCATTGCGAAAATGAAGACATGCATCTACAAAAATTTGGACTGATGATGTCATCGATTGCCAAAAACCTATGAAACTCTCTAAAATAAAAAGCTGCTAAAATTTTCACACTAGCCATATGATGGATGCAAGCTATATGCTTCTCCATTGGAGATAGCATTCTAGTCAGTAATGAGTGCCCAGAAGGTTAGCAAAAAGCTGGCATGATGAAGATGCTACAGGATCCCTAATCTTGAAGTGTTAGGAGGGGTGATCTGTGGCACACAAACTCCTCAAGTCATAAACTTTTACAAAATAATATTTATGAGTTGCCTATGGCTTTTCTCTCTATCAACTAGCTAAACATCAGGAAAAGAGCTGGAGCTTAATTAGTTAGCGCTTGACGATTTGCAACACTATGTCCTAGGCTCAATTTCTACAAAGGGTAGGGGCCCTCTCCTAGCTGACTCATGCAAAAAAAAAATTAGCTAAACAGTGTAATCACGGAAGGAAGCCTAAAAATTTTATGCCACTGTAGATATTTATATAACCTCGGGTGCATGACACAATAAATCAGAGAAAGGCAATGGTCATCAACAAATCTGACTTCCCAATTTTTTTTCTTCTTTGGATTTTTCCTTGAAAATATCCTGTGGTATTGTTGTCGTCTTTTTTATCAGTGGGCTATCAAAATTGTTCAGAATATATGGAAAAACTTCCACTATCACTTAAATGCATGTGGTAAGCAAAAACTATAGTACCTCATTTTGTCACCCTCTAGGACCATAAAGTTGAATTCATTTTTTTTGCTTGATAAACTGCCTTTGTTTATGAAAGACCAATGTCGATCATTTCTGTCATACAAAATGACTTACCCAAAACCTATATAGAAATAGTTGCTTATTGTTGAGCTCCTAAAACGTGCTGCCCTGCTTAATTTCAATCCAAACACATTGAAAGCCTGAAGTCAGTGCACATTCTAAGAAGCAACCTATTATCCATGGTCCTGAATTGGAGAGGTTTTGTAATGTTTCACATGAGACTATCATCATCTGAGCCTTATTCCAAGTATTTGGGGTCCACTAAGTAATCCTGTTCTGCCATTTTGCTCTATCAAGCGTTATATCCTTAGTCAGACCATAAGCTAGCATACATCTTCTCACTACTTCCATCCATGCCCTTTTGGTCCATCCCTTTGGTTTTTTAGATACTTCTACTTGAACCAATTTGCCTTTCCTAACTGGTGCTATATTAGATCTACGCTGCACATGGTCAGTCGACGTAAGTCTACTTTACCTTGTTTCATCACCCATTGGTGCCACCCCTAAGTTCCCCCTTATGTATTCACTCCAAATTCAATCCTTTCATATCTTGCCACTCATCCATCTCAACATCCTTATCTCAGCTACACTTACCTTATAGATATGTTATTTCTTGACTGCTCAACATTCCGTCCCATAAAACATGGCTGATCTTATTGCTGTCCTAATGTTTTACATGAGATAATGCTACCAATGAGTGCATTTTATTTTGTCTCATCATAGTCACATAGTTAAGGATGACATGTACCAACATATGCTAGTTTCTGATGGGATGGTTTCTAATCACAACGTCAGTTAGGTTCCTAAGATGCTTAGCCCACAGCTTAGCTCACATTCTCATACAAAAATTAGTTATAATATATATGCTTCCCTTTCATAGAAATAAATTACTCTTTCTGCTTATTACCTCAGTTCCATGGATGTAGGAAACTTCCTTTATCTCCATCTTACATCTCTAGACTAAAGACTCTAGATGATAAAATTTCCTCGTGATTTCTAAACTGAATTATCAAATTGTTTCATAGGAAAATCTCCATAGACCACAATGTAATCCTCTATATTTTAATTGCCATATCATTCCACCATTTATGAGGATGGTCACTTAATTTTTCATGTCTCCATTGTGCTATTGTTTGCAACCTATCTTCGAATCACTTTTATTTGATGATGAAGTCAGAGCCATGATTTCTGTTACCACTTTCTTCTCTAGTTCAGTGCTCAGTATTAACATCCTGTTTACAGTAGTCCAGTATTTTCTGTGAACCCTGGCTAGTTTTTCTGAAAATACAAGGTGATGAATGTGAACTTGACAAGTCGTTTTGACTTGGGTTTCCCAGATCAAGTCAGTTTGTTTTTGAATATCAGATCAAGTCAGTTTAGGGTGTGAATTAATGGAGAAGTGACTAACCTTTTTCATCAAGTTCTAACTTGACTGTGGTTCAAGATATTTTTCTGGATTCCAACTTCTGATTTGGCTTTAACTTTTTGGTCACTGGTCTGGACATATGCTATAGTTACTTGATGGTCACTGGGAATAGGTCGTCCACAGAGCACTAGACATTCATGAATCTAATTGCGAAATATTAGCAAAATGAATCTATGTTCAAACTGATGCAGAAGATGTCTTGAATGTTAGTTTGGGTAGCAGTTAGTTACAATGTTCCGTAATATTCATGAGAAGCTATGGAGCAAGAAAATATTCATTTTTGTAACATATTTTTTTTCACGTTCTTTAGAATTACATGATTTATTAAAGTCAGCACCATGAAAGTTGCATTGTTTCTTTACTGAACTGTGGTTTTTTTATGAATAATCATGTGCCAGGGAAGTTTATTAGCAGACAATCAATTAAAAATGCTATTATAAAAGCCATTCTGATTCTTTATATGTCCACCCCTACCTTTCCTTGAAATCCCATCCATTGTCAGCCAAATTGATCTTCTGCATCATGGCATTGATTCCATGGCATTCAATTTTCATGGAGTTTCCATTCATTCTCAAATTGCCTCCCATGATTATATATCTATAAACGGGAATCAACAAGTAATTGTAGACACAACACCTAGTTCTTTGCTGTGATTCTAGTAATTCTGCAAAAGAGCTTATTGCTTCCAATTAGTTTACATGTTTACATTCACACTATGTCAAAATATGGATTCCACCACTTTGTTAGGTTCTTTGACAATTTCACTGGTTGTGCTGAAACAAACTTTTGAGTCTGCAATTTCCCAGTTTTTCATCCACTTAACAATTTTGTTCAAAACTGAGCATTGTCTGGAGAGATGAAAATTTTCCAAATGAAATCTAGCTGGATACATCTTTTGTAATTTTCACCGTTCTTTACGGAGTTTCTGTACCCATCAATGATTTTTCCCTCGTCCCCACAAGCTTGGGCGACTGAGCTCATTAACTTTTACATCCTTGAAAACACCATTTACTTTGATTGGCTCCGTTCTTTATTAGCTTCGTGATGTCATCTACCCTATTCTCATGCTGAATAGTTGTGCTCTGAGTCCTAGTCAGGTGCATGTTTTGGTTACAGAGGTTTCATTTCTTTGCCATTCATTAGGCATCATCTGTGTTCCCTTAAAGCAGCTTTTGGTTTACTCCTTGTTTATGTTAAGCATAAGAAAGCATATCCTTGTATTTTGGTTTCCTTAATTGTGTACTCATCTCATTGTCTTTTGTTCATTGAAAAATCTTCCTTTTATCTGTACATGATCCCTGTGTGAAAATTGAGAAGCCCATTGAAATCCACGTATCATGATTTCCCTTCATTTAACACTTGATAACTCTCCCACCAATATTCAAGTCTATCTCTATTCCTTGACCAACTTACTTTCATATATGATGGGTCAGGATACTTGGCCTTCTATGGATCAATCTTAAATGACATTTACATTTAGAAAGTAACACTACAGGAGAAGGATAGTTTATTAGTCAATGTATTGAAACAGTAATAATTTTTTTGATTCTGGCCGTAGCCCAGATACATACATACATAAGAAAACTAATGATCTCTCAAAGGCCTGGATCAAGCTCATGATTGGGAGAAACAAACTGGCAAGGTAAGTTCCTAATTATACTTAGTAGAGATAGAAATCTCAATAGGAACAATACAATTAGTCATGAAAAGAACTTCAGTTCAGAAAATATGAGGAAAATGCATTGTAGTGAGGAAAATGTGTGTATCCATGAGTAGATGGCATATTTACATTCAAGAAGGTCATTCTTTTTTTATGATGTGGGATGGATTATTTTTGTTTCATACTGTTAGTGTGAAGATGTTTCTCAATTTCATACGATAGATACTTTCCTTGGATAGTAAATGTAAAATTTGGTATGCATTAAATTTTGTGATAATTGCTGAAAAAAATTATTAAATGGATGAATGGTGCTCTTTAATTATGGGAAATACAGCAGAATATTGCCTAGAAATTCCTGTATTTTGTTATTTAATTATGGGATATACAGCAGAATATGCCTAGAAATTTCG